TTTCTCTGATTGCTAGAGATGTTGAACATTTTTTCATATATTTGTTGATTGGTTGTATATCACCACCTGAGAAATATCTGTTCAGTTCCTTGTTCCTTTTATTGATTAGGTTTTTTGGTGTTAAGTTTTTTGAGTTTTTTATATATCCTACAGATTAGTGCTCTATCTGATGGGCGTGTGGTAAAAATTTGCTCCAATTCTATAGGCTCTCTATTCACCTCACTGACTACAGAACATTAAAGAAAGAAATTAAAGATGACCTTAGAAGTGGAAAGATCTTCCTTGTTCTTGGATATGCAGAATTATTATTGTCAAAATGACCATACTACCAAAAGCACTATCCAGATTTAATGCAATTCCAGCCAAAATCCCAATGACATTACTCATAGAAATAGAAAGGTAATCATGAAATTCAGCTGAAAAAATAAGAGACCCAGAATAGTCAAAGCAATCCTTAGCAAGAAGAGTGAAGCAGGTAGCATTACTATACCAGCCCTTAAATTATATTACAGAGCAATAGTAACAAAAACAGCATGGTATTGGGAACAAAATCAACTTGTATACCAATGGTACAGAGTAGAGGACACAAAGACAAATCCACATAAATACAATTATCTCATATTAGCCAAAGGTGCCAAAAACATATGCTGGAGAAAAGATAGCCTCTTCAATAAATGGTACTGGGAAAATTGGAAACCCGTATGCAGCAAAATGAAATAAACCCATCTCTCTCATCACGCACAAAACTCAACTCAAAATGGATCAAGGACCCAGGATTTAAACCAGAGACCCTGTGCCTAGAAGAAGAAAAAGTAGGCCCAAATCTTCATCATGTCGGATTAGTCCCCAACTTCCTTAATAAGACTCCTATAGAGCAAGAAATAAAATCAAGAATCAATAAATGAGATGAGTTAGCATTTTAGATCCTTGCCAAAATAAGGGTGATAGTTCTCAGCACTGGACTATTCTGTTTTGGTTACAGTAAGCAAATATGGAAAATTTATAAAACTGACCATATATTAGTATATAAATAAAAGTAGATACAAACCAGAAATGGAAGAAAAATATTATACAGTGATAATCACAATACAATAAACTAGAAGTGAATATTAAAACTCAATTTTCATATATCAAAATGACAAAAGTCATGTACACTAATTTGATACAGGTTTCACACAAACTGCCACTCTTATATACATAGTGAACAGAACAGAAAATTAAGGAACAGGAAATTGGCACAAATTAGACTAGAGACAATTTGGGAACATCTTTCAAAATTAGAACTGCTCAGTCTAGAGGTTCTCAATGGTATTTGTGCATTTAATCATCTAGGAAAAATGAGCAATTGTTGTTTAGTCCTAGAGATCATGATTTTATTGGCCAGAAAAGACCAGGGCTTTAGAAATTTTAACAAATTCCCAGGTGACACTAATGTACAAATATTGTACAACTGTTGAAGCAATTCCACTTCTAATCATTTACCCTACATATATCCACACATGTAACCTATGTCATTAATTATATCAAGAGGTTAGAAAAAATATTCTCCAAAAGAGGACTTGTTAAATCAATATGGAATATTCATAAAATGCAATATTATATCTTAAAAAGAGGAAAAATTGTAAAATACCTTCCAATAAAGCTTAGGGGATAGAGCTATAGTTTTTAATAAGGTGAAAAACAGGGTAATCAGCATGCTATCATCTATGTGAAAAATAATACACACACAAATTAATAGTAGCCATCTCTTTAGAGTTCAGTGTATGTATATATAACATTATTCACTGTTTGCAATATCACAAGATTAGAAATAAGTCTATCCATTACAACCTAATTAGATAAAGTATGATATATACACACAAGGTAAAATCTCACCACTATAAAGTACAATGTGGAAGCTCTCTACATATTGATATAAGACGCAAATCTTGAGAATATTCTGTTAAGTGAAAAAAAAAAATCAAGTGACAGAAAAACGTACATAATGCTATTTGGGTGTAAAAGGAAGAAATGAGAAAATATACCTTCACATTATCTTGCATTTGGACATGAAAGAAATAAAAGCAGCGCACCATAGGTCATGCTAGGAAATGAGACAAACAAGGAAAGGAATAAGTCTTTTCAATGTCTTTTTACATTGTTCTCTTTCCTGGGGCGGGGGGTGGGGGGGTGGAGGGGGGGAGTATTACCCATTCCAAAATCTTCCACTTAAAATATATTTTTAAAAATTCTAGTAGGGAAATAAAAACAAATCCCCAAAGTCTAATTATTGGTTATTCTTCCCTCCCCAACCTTTAAGGCTGGTGCATGCACTTGTCATGTTTCACATGGGTCCCAGGACCAAGGACCACCCTAAAGTAAGTGGGAGCTAGAAGATAACCAGAATTAAATGCTTTGCTCTTGACCCTTGGAGCCTGCACCAAAACACGTGGTGCCACTGTATCTTAACACCTTGCTTCTTGAAAACAGGCAGGCAAAACAGAATCTATAAAGACCCCATGTAAAGTAAAATTGGCATGGGGAGGCAGTTAATCCATTTAACAAAACGATTTAGGTATCTTTGCCTATCAGTATTCAAAATTGATTGTGCTCTTTTAAATAGTTATATTGTATTCTATATTATGATTACATAATTCAATTTATATTCATATAAAACTATATAGATCATATAAAATTTTCACATTTTAAAAATTATTTGCCTCAGGCTGGGCATGGTGGTATATGCTTATAACCCAGCCACTTGAGGTAAAAGGATCACAATTTCAAGGCCACCCTGAGCAAGTTAACAAGACTATCTCAAAATTAAACAAAAATAAAAGGGCTTAGGGGATGTAGCTATAGTAAAGCACCCCTGGATTTGATCCCTAGTACTGGAAAAAAATTTGCCTCAGGAGAAATCTTTGTGCATATGGGAGTTTTCCTGTAGAACAGATTCTTAGAAGTAGAACTGAAGTTTGAAGGTTATTCACCTTTTACTTTTTAATTAGACACAGTGAATAAACATTAAGAGATTCAATATTATCAACAGTCGGGGAATGCAAAATAAAAGTTCCATTTTTATTTACTAGTTAGCAAAAATACAAATAAACACTTGCATTAAAAGCATTTCAGATGGGGCTGGGGTTGTGGCTCAGCTGTAGAGTGTTCGCCTACCACATGTGAGGCCCTGGGTTCAAGTCTCAGCACCACATATTAATTAATTAATTAATTAAGGTATTGTGTCCAACTACAACTAAAAAATATTTTTTAAAAAGCATTGCAGAATGTGTGTGTGTGTGTGTGTGTGTGTGTGTGTATATATATATATATATATAAAATTTAAGTAGTGCGACATTGTTTAGGAAGCACACACTAAAACAGTAACAACATCAACCTTAAGGGAAGAGAAGTGTAAGAGGCAGTTGGGGGACAGGGGGGTTGAGATAGGAAAGCCCAGGAAATCTCCAGATTCTACTTTTCGAATTTAAGAGAAAGACAACATATGAAAACACTACTTGCTCAAATAAAACAAAAATATAAATTAGCCCACTGAATTCTGTTTGTAAACTCTGCTTAGTGAATAAAAACAAGAGTAAATTAATTTTTAAGCCTATTTTATGATCATTTTTAAAATAAAAATAGTTTTATAGAAGCTATCAATTACCTGTTTCTACTTCTCTAGAATTCTCCTCAAGCACCAATATGAGGAAATTTAACTGAATTAATAGAGTTGGCAAGAAGGAAAAGGCGTACAGAAAACATGTCACAGGAATGAGCTAAAGTCGACATTAAAAAAGTAAATGCAATCTGTTCAATCTCATGAGAAGATAAAATTAGCATACAGCATTAGTACTTGATGTCAAATGCCTAGGAAAGAAGAAACTATCTGACTTTCTACTCAACTTCTAAGACAGATTTACTCTTTAGAATTAACTAATTCTTGAGGAAGAGAAAATGGTGCTTTCCAAGTGAGGAACTTGGGAGTTCCATGGCCAGTACCTTTTGGAAGACTCTAAAAGGCTTCAGGAACATGGAGTTTTCATTGCGCTCCCCGAGTTCTTTTGCAACACCACCCAGAAAGGACCAGGTAATATTTATAAGGCACCTTCGGTAAATGGATAAAGGAAGGTAGCCAGACTGCGAGCTAGACAGCCCCAGCATCATGGACAAGACCAAGAACACATGGTAATGGTGACTCATGGCACACACAGGTACTCCCACACACCCAGCTTTCCACTCTCTAAAGTAGAAAAGCCTTTCTTATTTACTAGTAGCAACTAGTAAATGGTAATGCATGAAAATGTAGCATTTCTGTGATTAGAGAGCAGACAAGAAAAAACACAGGTGGTTGGAAACGTGTGATTTAACTCTTCATTTAAAATGAACCTGTGACTCTGGAGGTGCACTGCTCCTATGGATGGTATTCAAAGCCCAGAAAGACCTCAGGTATCGCCTGCCCAACACTACTTGTTTTCTTGTTTGAAAGCACCGGAAAACCTCCTCCTGTGTTTCCCTTCTGTGGCCCTAGTTATTCTTAGATGAACTATGCCTGGCAAAACTAAAAGTATTCTAGCAACCAGTGCTAATGCAATCTGACATTATTCAGTATATTCAATAACAGCAAAATTTCCCCACCACTTAAAGAATAGTATGTCAATTGAATAAAATGGTAGCAACGAAGAGTCAATAAGTACTACTGAGATTTAACAATATTCAATGAAAAATGTGGCACCAATTTTCTAAAACTATATGTAATAGTTTTTTTCTCTTTAAAGAATTTATCATTTTGAAAGCATCATGCACTTTACAGGATGCAAACTCAGGTAAGGGATTAAAAATTTGAGCACAAGAGCCAGCACAGCATACATGACAGATAGTACAAACCAGGAAATATGAAAAAGTACCACTTTGGCAGCCCAAATGTTGGTATTTTAGAATCTCATCATCTGTAACATTTCCAGATCACATAAAACACATTTTATAGATGAGAAACAAGACCAAGAGATTTGAACTTACAGTACCTGGTAAAAGTCGGGTTGTGTTCAGTCATCGCGACAAGCAGTTTGAGAGCATATGCTGGTACTGGGTCTGGCTCCATGAGGATGTGCTCATACCTGAAGTGACAAAGGCATTAAAAAACACTCAGTAGTTTCCCTCACTTAAATGCCCCATTTAAATAACAGGGAAAAAAAGAGACCATAAGGTACAAACATCTGAGAAAAATAGATATAAAACTATGAGCTATAGGACATACAGGTTACTCAAACTCAGAAAGCTTCCACAGACTTCACTTCCTAATGGTAATGACATTGATCTACTTCATAGAAGACGGTTGTCAGGAATATTCCTTCAGATCATCTAGCACTAAGCCTGCCACATAATAAAAGAATACAGAATACCCTCACATTTCAAAATTCACTAGGGGTCTCCTGGCACACAACACATAGTTGCACTCATGGCTAAGACGCAGCATACAACACAGTAAGGACACACAGCTGAATCACAAGGGAAGGATTCCATATGCAGGTTTCTCTGTGTACTGAGAGTATGCAAGTGCTTGCTCTCTCTCATGTAAGCAAGTTCTGTTTCCCCCAGAACCCACCTTTCCATGAGGGGCTACACTCAGCACAAATTTTCCCCAAGCATTGAAAATATAGTATGTGTGTGATGTTTCTGCTTAGGGAAGCAGATGAGAGACTCAATGGCCACAGTTTTTATGAGGGTTTGCTCGCACAGGCAATCTCTGACATGTCTCAAAATTCCAGATTCCCAGAAGGAAAGCAGAGGTTCAGCACAGCCAGGTCCTGTGCCCCATCCGGACATATCAAACTATACTTATCAGCTAAGTATGGCCTAGGAGCACTTTGAGAGCCATCTTCCAAGATGCCCAGCTTTATGTGGATAGCTTTATGTGGTTAACGGTCTCAGGCTAGGTATGTTAACTCTTCTGCAGAACACTCTTACAATTAATACTTTTAAAGTTTGACCAAATTAAAACAATGTTATCAAAGAAAATAAAACTCAAAATGCCTTCATCAAAAGTTTCTACAACAAAATGCAGACTGTTCCCCCATGTTCTTTGCTAAGCAAGAGGCTGCTTTGTATACATCTTACCTATTTAAGTCCAGTGATCCAGTGAACAGCACTGTGTAGATACTCAGTAAATAAGCATCAAATGAGTGAGTGAATGGATGAAAAAACAAACTAACCAATCAACTTTATGACTTATTTCTCTGGAGTAGCCAACAACTAAAAAGCAGGGAATAGAGGGCTTGGGGAGGACTCTCTAAAAATACAAAATGGATATTTAAAAATCCTACAATGAAACAGATGATTTTCATCTAGAGAACAGGGCCCCGGGCTCTTACTCAGAGCTTATTTACTCTCATTTTGGAAATTATTATCTAACAAGCTTAATTACACAGCCTCTAAGCCCACAGTCATTAAAAAGGAGCCAAGAAAAGGGAGGAGAGGGACTATTACAGAAAAACAACCTGAGAGTTACAAGAAACAGGACTAAAGCATAGGGGGAAACAAACAAAGCAATCCCAATTCTCCAAGCAGAGAGCAGACAGGGGAGCATTTAACAGAGAAGCTGCCTCAATGGGGCCCCAGGGCCTGCTGCATACTACAATGTTCAAAATGGGGGTAGTTAAGAAAATGTTATGCTGGAAAGAGTGTTCTGTTTAAGGACACAGGAAGTACCATATATTAGAATGGTTGCTTAATTTTTTTTTAATCACAGCATTTATAAGATTTGTCCATATATTATAAAGATGAAATACTAACCACTCATAACATCATAGAAGGTCAAAAATAGCATTGTTAAAAGAAACATAGCACAGGATGAAATTAGCCAAACTATGTCATGTGCATGTATGAACACATCACAGGAAATTCCAGTTTTAGGTATAATGCACCATTTTTTAAAAATTTAATGTTTGTATAAAAAAATGCAGCAAAATCAAGTATGAGTGATATCAAGAAAAAAAAACAGAAAATATTTTCTCACAGCAACAAAATCAAGTAAATTTCTTTAGAAGTTATAATGCATTTGACAAACTTTAGCTACCAATACACATTTTCTTTAAAAATGGCCTAGGAAAGACAGAAGAAATAATCTGTTCCCTTCTCTAAGTATTCTTAAATAAAGAGCTCTTATCCCAAGTTGGGATACCCAAGAACACTCATAGATTCAATGATTTCCTAGAACTCAAAGAACTTGATAAACCTCTTCTGCTAGTTATGACGCATTACAATGAAAGGACACATTAAAATAAGCAAAGACAAAAGACAGAATGCAGGAGAGACAGGCGCCAGCCGTCAGTGGTCATCTCCCACATCTCCCAGTGCAGTGGGACAGAAGTGCTTGATCTGCTTTGTGACAATGTGGACAGTGTAGGAAGTACCGCCAAACAGAGAAGTTCACCTGAGCCTTTGTGACCAGGGCCATTACTAGGCATGGAGAGCCCATGTGGCTGACTTTAATTACTCCGTCTCCAGCGCCTCCAGAGGTCAAGGGTCCCACTATATCACATCCTTAGCACACATTATGTGGCATGGCTCGGGCTCCAGGTATACAAAGACATTCTAATAAGGCAGGATGTTCCAAAGACCAATAAGTCATCTCCCAGGAGACAGTCAAGAGCCAGTTCTTTATGAGGTCCAGGGTTTAAACACCCAACACGTTCTAAGTTAAATCTTTGATTCACACATAGTTAAAACTGAGAGGCACTGACATTGAGATCAAAAATAAAAGAATACCTCCTCAAACAGGATACTTGTATTTGGAAACCAAGGGCCAGGGCCTCTCAAATTGAAGGTGAGAAGCTTCTGAAAAAATGATTCACATACCCAGGATAACTAGCCCCTTGCCCAACCCCAGACAATACTGAATCACGGAGGGAAGAGGTCAAAACCCCATTAATTTTTTTTAAAAGGTTCCAAATGATTTTCCTACTTACATGCTTGACTGGAAAGCATAGGAGAAAATAAGGACAATGATTTAGAAATATAATAGAAAAAAACACATTCCCCACAGGCTGAAAAACATGCTTTAAAACAGTCTTGACAGGCAACATGTAGTACTGCATTTTAAAACAGCGGTGAAATTTTTCTAAGTGTCCTGAGGTTGTCTGAGGTCACCTGACCTTGAAAAAGAGGGGGAGTGCCTGGGGGCCTCAAGCAGCACAAGCCTGTGTGAGACAATTCTCCCAGAGAATATTATTCTATTAACTCCTTTTGGGGGGGAAAGAATAAAGTTCATAACAGACATATTTAAAATACAAATATTAAATATATTTTGGTTTAATCAGATAGTTTTGTAATGAGCAGCAAGATCTAGCCAAAAGCATGCTACAATTTACTAAGCTTATCTTCCAAAGACAGATAAGCAGCTGATAGTAGATGGTTGCCACACACCTCTGAGTGTAACTAGGCCAAAAAAAAAAAAGGAATGAGCCCTGATTCTTTAAACTGCCTCAGAGGGTTTCAAGAATCAGAGGAGCACTTCAAGTTCCCTGAGCCTGGCTATAGGTCGCTATCAAAATTGACAAACAGCACCCTGAGCAATAGTGTCCTTGGATCCCATTCCTCTACCTCCAGAATCCTCTCTAACCAAGGAGCCAAGCAACTAGAATCCAGAAAGGAAAAGCCATTCAAACTAAATTCATATCCACTTGGAGAGAACATTCCTAAAAACCACATATTTTTGACCAAGGTGAAAAGCCAAAGTATGGGATGTCTTTTCCTCCTCATTCTTCACTCCCAATCCTAAAAGAAATGAATCTATATCTTGTCCAAAGCCTGGTTCAAATAGGGCCCAATTAGGTAGGCTGGGAAAAAAACTGAAACACGCCATCCAAATAACTCTGGATCATGGTTGAGAGGCTTTTCTGAGGGATATGACCAAAGAATTGGCCAAAAGAAAGTGTCTTCAATTTCACTGAGTAGAGGAAGGAGGCACTGTATCATAGAGAAGTTGATTCCACAAAGATTAAGTCACAAATTCACTTTTCAATCTCAACGGAGTACACTCAGAAATGGGACATGGGGAAAAAGTGATTTAAAATATTTAAGAAAAAGAAGAAGATCCTGCTAATAAAGTACATTATAAAATCAAAATAATGATTAAGCTTAGAGTGGGATCAAGAATATACATATTAACAGAAAGGAAAGAAAGGTGACACCTAACGTTGGCCAAGAAAGAGTAATTTTAGAGTGAGACACGTCAGGCAATACCTTATGGAAATGTATCTCCAATAGATTAAAAAACGCAAGTAAAAAATTTAAACTTCATGAGAAGATAAAAATGTATTCCTGAGTAAGCAGTCCTCTTTAGCATGAAAACAAAAATGTTTATAATTTTGAAGTTTTTAAAAGTTAAATATTTCTCAATAGCACAACCACTTCAAATATCATAAGGGGAAATTATTTGTAGAATATTGGTAAAATATTGGTAATATTCTTACTATAGTCATTTGTTGATTAATGGCAGGATATAGTCTAAGAAATGCATATTTAGGTAATTTCCTCCTTATATGAACATCATAAAATCTACTTGTCCAAACTAAGACAGCTACAAATGTCAACAGGTGATGTAATCTTATGGGACCACAGTTGGATATGTGGTCTGTCATTGATAGTAACATCATGCAGTAGTGATGACTATTTAAAGAACTATTGAAAATCATCGAAGATACCACTGAACAAATGGACAAAATTCATGTAAGGTTAATTAAAATGACCAAGAAATGTGGGTGAAATGGTCTACTTCATTAATATCTGAAGGAATATGTGTTAGAACTAACAAGGGAACAGCAAAATGGGCAATTTCATAATAGAAACCTAGTAGGATAAACTGTCCATCTTTGAAAAAAAAATTGGCAAAACATTTCAAATGTCTTTGAATTATATATAAAGTTCAACACAGTAATTCTACCCCTAGAGAGTCAACAAAAGGAAATAACAACATGCTCAAAGACGTAGTCATAAAAATAGTCTTTGTAGCATTTTATATGACAGTAAAATACTGGAAAAATAGTTACTAGAAGTTCCCTAACTGGGAATTGTTCAGATGATTTTTAGTACAACTATAAAGGTAGATGTAGATGAC